TGAATCATGTAATTTTGATTAAATCATTTCACTTTAAGAAAGTACTATATTTATAGATTGTATAATAATTGCAAAAGCAGTATTACATATTTTCTCGAGTCTAAAAATGCAATATACTTTGTATTTGTTACTTTCTTTTATGATCTTTTGCAGTTTAGATGACAACTATTCTAAATCAATTGATTAATAATAATACAGTACATTTTATTATTGCCTTCTTTTAATACAAAATCAGTATGTTCTGATATCAACACCTTTTTTGGAAATCCAATACTTGCCATTATCAATGAGAATTCTTTTTAAAGTAGCAGGATTTACTTTGTTCTGTAATACAACCACATAGGTATTTTTTTAATACTCAAACTGCATAGCATATTGTTTAGCTATATGTATGTCAGGCGTTGAATAAATACCTTTTTCATAAACAAACTGTTTTCCTTTGCTCAGATCATAACCTTCTTTAGCATTACATTCAGCAGTGCCATGATACGATACTGGCTAGGCATTTTTATCAGTATCAAGCTATTTATCATCACCATTATCATACTTTCCAGTAACCTTTAAAGCGTAGCATTTCTTATAATGTATACCGCCCTGCATAAATGTCTTTCCTAAATCATTAATATTTGTAAAATTGTAGTTATATAGCGGGTCCAATTCATTATCATTAATATAACCTATCGGAGTATGCCCTCCTTCACGTAAATTAAGACTCAAGTACAATGTAAATCCAATGTCATCACTACAATAGTCAAAGAGCTTACGTTCATTTTTTAATTGATTCCCCAAATCCATTAATATTTGTTCATTTGGTGGAATACCTTTCTTAAGTTGAATTAACAGCTTAATAGAGTAAATTGTAATATTTTCATTACATTTGAATGATATGTTTTTACCATAAGTGTTCAAACAAAAAATTGTATTTGGTCAGATGTGCGCTGACACTTTAAACAATGCTGACGATTTAAATGATGCTGACGATTCTGGCAATTAAAATTAGTGCCCAAGTTGTTAAAAATATTTTTTTACTCTCATTAAAATGATCATAACAAAGATTATGATACCCAAAAAATAATATTCAACTGGATTATATGGATAATATAGACAGTAATCCAACAAGTTATATTTAAAAACAATGCCTGGATGGTGGTTTATGATTTATAAACAAGCGAATTTAAACCATTGTTTGTATAGTAGTTTATAATTACATAAGAAAGCGAACTTAAACCCAAAATACAGAGTAATCCAAGAATATACTTCAAAATTAAAAAATAACTAAATGAATTAGGGTTATTACTAACATTATTTAGTTTACTGCCAACAAGGTTAATCTGATGAAATGATTTTATGTTAATTTTTTGATAAAATGTACCAGCAGTGTTAATTTCACTATGGACTTGTCGATTCTGAAATTCTTTCTCAGATATAAACTTGTAGATTCCTCCTATTAAGGCTGTAAAAGCCATGTTAAGAAGGTCTATATCATGCGAGTTTTCCATAGTATAATAGTTGTATTTGGGAGCTAAGCGATTATAGACAAATAGTGCCAATTTGAACTCCAACCGATTACGGGATTGGGGTTTATATAAATAAAATGAAAGGTGAGGTGAATCTATCTTAAAATAACTAATTCTGGAATGAATATAAACTTAATATGTTTAAAATAATAGTAATAACTAAAAATTCATATATAAAACAAAGAATCTATAAATTAAAATAATTCAGAAATAATATTACAGAGAAGTAATACTTCTTAGAGCGGGTTAAGTGGTATGATTGATTGATGATGATGTTGAATGATAGAATTTTAAAAGAATCAATCTAAAGGATGAGAATGAATATATATTTGTTGTCCAGGGATGATATTAACAGAAATTGATATCTAAAGCGATTTATGATGCAAAGTTGATTTATGGATGCCTTAAAAGATAAATTATATTTTATTTTAGCTATTTATAAAATCAGC